ATGATGGCAACAAATGTATAAATGTGCTTGACACAATGGATGGATGTATGGATTGTGATGAGTTGTATGAGCCCACAATAAAATTTTTTTTTAATCTGTTCTCAACATGTCTGAAACTAGAAAACTAGTTCCTTTTCTTCTGGGAATTGTGCTTCACTTTGATTTTTATTGAAAAGTGGGTTGTTGTTTTTTTCACACTAAAGAGTAGCGACGAGTTCAAAAAACATCTTGTAATTGGATGAATCTGGGATTTTTTTATGCTGAGAGAAATGTCAATAACAAAAGAGAAATATTGTATGAGACCACTATTATAAAAAGCCAAGGGTAGGTTTACACAAAGAAAGCCATATTCGTCGATGGTAACCAAGGATGGGAAGGGGTGGGGGGCAAGTATCACTCACTAATAGACATGTGTTAATTCTGGGGAAGGGAAAGACAATACACAGTATGGGGGACCAACATGACCAGACAAAGGAAGACACTGAAAGGTATGCACGAATAGAGAACATTCGACATCCTCGTTGGAGAGTAGCCTCTGGGGCCTTAACAGCTTGCATGTGGCCATCTAAAATGCAAGTACTGGTCTCTCCCCATTTGGAGCAAGGGAGAGGGAAGCGAGCCAAAGACTCCAGGAAGAAATTAGTCCACAGGACTAATCGTCCACAGGAACCACCACAGCCTCCTCTGACCTAAGATCAGAAGAGCTAGATCTGGTGTCCTACTGCCACTGAGGACCACTCTGACCCAGGGACACAATAGGTTTGGCTAGGATGGGAGAAAAATGTAGATCAATATTCAAATTCATAGGAAAGACAGACTTACTGGACTGATGGAACTGGAGGAATCCCCTCAACTCTCTCCCTTAGACCCTCTTTTTATCGGAATCTGAAGTCACTCCCAGAGGACACCTTCCAGCCAAATACTAGATTGGCCAAAATAAATAAATCATTTAATTAATAAAGAGGAATGTGACGTTTAGACGAGTCAACTCTTAAACTAGTTAACTATGAGACCAAACGGGCAACATTTGCCCAAGCAAACATGAAAAATGGAGGAAGAGCAAGGAAACTGGAGGGACAGAATCAGGGTAGGCAGAGTGGAAGTGGGGATAGTGATGACATACTGTGGGGCTAGCAAACAAAGTCAGGGAACAGGACTTAAAATGCTCTGAGCAGAACAGAAATTGTTATGAATTGAACAAAAATATAAATTGTTTTTGAATGGGAAACAAATTTGCTATATAAACTTTCACCTGAAACATAATGAAATGAGTTTTTATTTATTTTTAAATCATTTTTTGGGGCTCTTTCAGCTCTTAACACCATCCATACGTACATAAATTGTCAAGCGCATTTGTATATATGTTGCCATCATCATTTTCAAAACGTTTTCTTTCTACTTGAGCCCTTGGTATCAGCTCTTTCCCTCCCTTCCCCCTACCCCCCTCATGAACCCTTTATAATTTATAAATTATAATTTTTTTCATGTCTTACACCAACCGCTGTCTCCCTTCACCCACTTTTCTGTTGTCCATCCCCCTGGGAGGGGGTTATATGTCGATCATTGTGATCTCCCCCCACCTTCCCGCACCCTCCTGGTACCACTACTCTCATTATTGGTCCTGAGGGTTGTCTGTATTTGATTCCCTGTATTGCAAGCTTTTATCTGTACTAGTGTACATGCTCGGGTCTAGTCAGGTTTGTAAGGTAGAATTGGGTTGAGGGGAGTTGGAGACCCAAGCCCATCTGTAGATGATTGGACATCCCCCCACAGAGGGGTTACTAGGAAGGGGACGATTCAACCAGGGTGAAGTATAGCATTGACAAAACACACTTCATTCCTCTAGTTCCTGAATGCTTCCTTTCCCTACCCCCCAACTACTATGACTCAGTTCTACCTTACAAATCTGGCTAGACAAGAGTACACACATTGGTACAGATAAGAGCTCTGGAATTCAGGACATAGAATTCAGGACGGATAAAAGGCTCAGGCACAGTAGTGGGAGTAGTGATATCATGAGGGTAGGGGGATGGAGGGGGAAGATGGAGCAAGGAGGAACACATCATAAGGTTCTATAAATAGCTCCCCCCCAGGGGGACAAATAACAAAGGTGGTTGAAATGAGACAATGGACAGTGTAAGACAGGAAATAAAATGAATAATATCTAATTAATCAAGAATTCACGAGGGTGGGAGAGGAGCTGATACCAAGGGCTCAAGTAGAATGAAATTGTTTTGGAAATGTTGATGGCAACATGTACAAGTGTCCTTAATCCTATTGAATGATGGATTGTTACAAGATTTGAAAAAGCACATCCAATAAAATGATTCATTAAAAAAATTAAAAGGTTATTCTTTTGTTCTGCCCACATTATGAAAAACAATGATATAACTGAAACTCTGTAAAATCAGTTTTAATGAACTTAGGTACCATTAAAGAGAGAAAATATGTGTTATCCTGTCTTGAGTCTTATACTAGGAAAACCACTTAAAATTTATTCTAACAAAATAGAGGAAAGAACTAGGAGGCAAAGGGCATTTATAGAGGTCTAAATACAGGCATGTATATATGTAAATATATTTATATATGATGATGGGGAAATAGATCTATGTGCATATATTTATAGGTTTAGTATTAAGGTAGCAGAGGACATTGGGCCTCTACTCAAGTACTCCCTCAATGGAAGAACACTTTGTTTTATTAAACTGGCATTCCATGATGCTCACCTTCCCAATATGATCGCTGAGACAAAGTGGGTGTATAAGCAAATGTGGTGAAGAAAGCTGATGGTGCCTGGCTATCAAAAGAAATAGCATCTGGGGTCTTAAAGGCTTGAAGATAAACAGGTGGCCATCTAGCTCAGAAGCAACAAAGCCTACATGGAAGAAACATACCACCCTGTGTGATCACAAGGTATCGAAGGGATCAGGTATCAGACATCAAAGAACAAAAAACCATATCATTGTGAATGAGTGGGAGTGCGGAGTGGAGACCCAAAGCCCATCTGTAGGCAACTGGACACCCCCTTACAGAAGGGTTGTGGGGAGGAGACGAGCCAGTCAGGTTGCAGTATAGCACTGATGAAACATACAATATTCCTCGAGTTCTTTAATGCTTCCTATCCCCCTACTATTATGATCCCAAGTCTACCTTATAAATCTGGCTACACCAGAGGATGGACACTGGTACAGATCAGAGCTGGAAACACAGGGAATTCAGGACAGATCCTTCAAACCCAATAGCGATACCAAGAGGATAAGGGGAAGGTGGGGGAGAAAGGGGAGACCGATTACAAAGATCTACATATAACCTTCCCTGGGGTATGGACAACAGAAAAGTGGGTAAAGGGAGACATTGGACAGTGTAAGATGTGAAAAAATAATAATTTATAAGTTATTAAGGGTTCGTGAGGGAGGGAAGGGAAAAATGAGCTAATATCAAGGGCTCAAGTAGAAAGTAAATGTTTTGAGAATGATGATGGCAACATGTACAAATGTGCTTGACACATGGATGTATGTATGGATTGTGATAAGAGTTGTATGAGCCCCCCAATAAAATGATTTATTTAAAAAATGACATATTAATGGTAGAATGCTCAACAGTAATAAGACTAAACAAACTATTGCTTCACCAAAAAAATTGATTCTATCAGATGTATTATTTCTAAGATTAAATGGATGTGAGCATGGTATATTCTGACTGATTTTTACTATTAATGCTTTCATATCCTCACAAATAGAAAGATGGAGTGACTGTCAACAGTTTGCATCTCAACTGAGTTCAAAATAATATTGCCCACATATAATTTAACAAAAGGAATCAGCTTTGCCCCCTTTGAATCACAATGAATAAAAATTATGTTAGCATTACATAGTAAGTATCAACCTTTGAAAGTAAATGACATAAGCAGCTTCAAATTTAACAATCTGGTGTAAAATACTTAAAACCATATACCAGAATAATCACTGATACATGTAAATAGATATAACCCACTAACATCAAGTTGATTCTAACCCATAATCACCCTACAGGACAAAGCAGAAATGCCCCAGGGAGTTTCTGAGACTGTAAAAGTGTAAAGGGAGCAGATACCCTGATTTTCTCCCCAGGAGTGGCTGGTGCGTTTGCACTGCCAACCTTGTAGTTGACAAATATCTAACCAACATATCTTTTAATAATTTGTTGAACTGACCTTGACTTATGGAATTTACATGAAAATGTCCTTGCCCACAGAGAGACTCAAAGATGGACACAAGGTGGACTCACACACAGCCACACTGCAAGAGTTCTGGAAAACTCCTCAAATTCAAGCAATTCACATCCCTAAATCAATGAAGGATACATCCTTTCGGAAGGTATGCTAACAAAATGTGGTGCTTTATTTAAATACCAGTACTATGTATTCAGAGCTGAAGTTTTTATGAAAGATAAGCTAATTCAAGGGCAAGGCTTGGCAGATAATAAGGTATACCAGCAGCCTATAAATATCATTATAGATTCTCCTTAACCTATGAGTTCCTGTGGGGCTTCATGAGACTTAGAAGTACCTTTACTCTGAAAGTTTAATATCTTAAGCACAAAGATATCTAAGGAAAGTGCTGTCCTAGAGATGGAACCCCAACCTCATAAAGAATATTACTCAGACTGAATAATTGGTAGCAAAAGGATAATAAGCAAACATTTAATAGCTGTTGACCTGTTCTGCCCATCAAAGATCCTAACTGCCGAAGTGTCATCTCTTTTACAATGTGAATTGGTTACTAAACATCTGTGCAATCTGGGCAACTTTTCTAATGAACATTTTGAATCTTCTCTGGTGTTATAACATTTCTGTAAATAGTGTGCGTATGTGCGCACGTGCACGTACCCATGCACATCTATGAGGGGCTTAAGCATTCATGGAAAAATTCCATTCTCTCTTAAATTACGTTTCCTGCAAACGTTTTGGAGCTGCCTGGTATGCACACAGTGGAGCCCTGTCTCTTCGTGAATGTTAGCTGCACTACTTATACTAGTAAGGAGAATGAAAACGACCTATGTTGAGAGCCCCAACCGTTCCTCCTCCTGCCCAGCTGAGGCTGTGAGGGCTATTTTAGTTGAGATGAAGCTGAGTAGTTGGGTTGCTTGTAAATATCACGTTAAACTTTTTTTTTGGAACCTTAAATATGAAAGCACTTCAAAAATTTTGTGGCAAAATGGAATTTTTCTCCTGTTTGAAGCTCCTCCTATTAAAACCATTTGAGATGGCAAGACGCACCCACAGAGGCCCGTGGGAACTCAGCTTCACATCTCCTGGTTTGTCAGAAACAGTGGTTATCAGAACAGGTCGGAGTCCCCTAAGTGAAGTGGCAATTACCACCACCACCCCTGGTGACACAGCTTTCTTTCTTTTTGGCAAATTACCAGCGTTTTAGCAAGTCAGCAGCATTACATTTGCAGAAGTTTAGTGTGCACAGGTGCAAAGTCACCAAATACATCCATCCTTTCAGATACGTCATGATGCTCACCTCCATTCAAAACACTGGCCAACTCCGCTTGCTTTCTCTTGTGTTTCAGCATCCCGACCTCACCATCGGCCAGAAGCGCTATCTGTGCAGCATCGCTAAGCTCTACAACGCCAGCTACCTGAGGACATTAATGAAGAGGCAGTACATGCATGTGATTCGGCACAGCTCCCAGAAGCCAGGCAGGTTCACCTCCCCACACTTCTCTGGAGCTCTCCCAAGAGTGGTCTGGCCTTTTAACAGGTGCTTTGTATGACAGGTGTCCTCACTCACCACAGGAGCCGCCTCAGCTCATGTTACTCCCAGAGGCAGCATTATCCTTGCACCACATGGCGACACCAACTGGAAAGAGAAGAGTTGGGGCCATCCAGCATCTCCATGGCCTGTGCACCTGAAATGATCATACCCCATTTCCTTTGGCGACCAGTGAGAAACAAAGACGGGTTTGTTTCTTGTTTACAATGGAGGAAATGCCTAGTTCTACTTGAATGCTAAATGATTCTAAAGTTTGTGTTCCCTAATAAGAGGGGCTTCAGAAAGTTCGTGGCCAAAGTCCATTATTTTTAATTCAGTTGGTTAAACATAGGCCAGGTTGGACTAAAAGCACAAAAGGTTGCTCTCCTACTCTTCACAGAGCTGACTGGAATATGCCACTTCTTTTTGAAAGTATTTTCTGGATGTGTAAACACTTCTTGATCAGCAAAAGAGAGGGAAGTCTTCCCTTTTCAATATAACTCCTACTCAAATTTCAAATACAAAAACTTACAAAAGGAAAAAGCATATGGTTGCTTCTGCACAGAGGAGTGTAATAAGGTGAAAAAGGAAAAGGGGGAAAATGAAGATTTGAGCACTGAATCTGCACTGTAATAGTGAGCTCTGCATGTCTGGGTTAAGAAGTCCCAGCAGAATTGGGGGGCTGAGAAAATATTCTTGGTGATGCTGAAGCATGCAGTTGGCATGGTTTCTCACACAGATCAGAGAATCGCTCACTTTTTGGGCTCCAAGTAAGATACTCCCCTTTCTTGCAGGTTAAAAACTGGGTATGCAGCCAAAACAAGATGTAAGTCACTGAAGATCATTAGAAGACCAAGCAGACCGTTCATGCAACCAGGTAAGTGTGGAATTAAAAAAAAAAAAAAAGGCATCTGCACAGATCTGTTGCTTAAAATACAAGGAACACAAAGACAGTTTCATTTCCATGACTGAACCCCAAAGCCAAACCTGCTGGTGCCAATCAATTTCAATTCAGGTCAACCCCAAGTATGTCAGCAAAGAACTGAACTCCAGAGGGTTTTCAATCTGACAGGAATGGAATGTTAAGGTCTTTCTGCCTTGATGCTTCTGGGTGGACCGCTAATGTTTTAGTTAGCAACTGACACTAGCAAATAGTTTGTGCCACTGAAGGATCTAAGTAAATTCAAATAACAGATGAAATACATGTTTTGCAAAAATGAGGACCTAATGTCGGGGGTTTAAGTGGAGAGAAAATGTTTTGAGAATGATGTACAAATGCGCTTTACACAATTGATGTGTGTATGGATTGCAACAACAGTTCTATGAGCCCCTAAATAAAAAAAAAGAAAAGAAATACATGTTTTGCTTTCTTTTGAAATAATATACGACCCAGAGGAATGGAATTTAAGGCATTTTTAATTTTCAACATAGGTTCATAAGGCTTAATTGACCTTTTCAGAAACAAGACAAAACAAACCAACTCGGCATCCCTTTGGCAATTAAACACATTTGCACTGAGGCCCACAATCCAGGGTACAGTATTTATTTTTGCAGCCCGTTGGCTGATTCCAATTGGTAACCAATTGGTAGACTTGCCTCTTGAGTTTCTGAAGCCCTAACTCTGTATGGGAGTAGAAAGCCTCATCCTTCTTCCAGGGGGCAACTAGTTTCCAGGTTCCAGCCTTGCAGTTACAGCCCAACAGGTAACCCACTATGACAACAAGGCCGAGTTGGAATTGACTCGATGGCAGTGAGTTTGGTTTTGGTTTGGATGGTTCCGAAATCCCCCAGGGGGTGGTCATGCCCACTTTGGGAAACCCTGTTCCAGATTGTTAACATCAAGGTTGTTAGTTGCAGTTGTTTCCAATTCATGATGAACTCCTTATGTATAGAGTAGGATTCTCCACAGGTTTTGAAAGCTGTGAACTTTCGGAAGCAGATCTCCAAGGGTTGATGCTTATAAAGCGTGACTTTAAGCCACAGCAGTTTTTAGGACACTGCCCTGTTTGAGTGATTGACATATTTTGTATAGCATCTAATAGTTTACAATGGGCTCACTTTATAAGAATCTGAATAGTGCAAATGGCTAATATGCTCACCTTCTAACTGAAAGGTTGAAGGTTCAATTCCTCCCAGATGTGCAGAGGAAGAAAAGCCTGGTGATTCATTTCCCAAAAAATCAGCTATTGAAAATCCTATAGACCACATTTCTGATATATATGGGATCACCATGAGTTGGAATTGCCTGAATGAGTTACACATCACTTCTATTTTGTTTGGTAGTCAAGCAATGGAGGCAAGTCAAGCAAGTGATACCCAAACTTAACAGATGCAATTCCAACAAACCCAAACTTGGGAAGGATCCGTGTAAAGGATCCTTCTACCTTCAGTCCACAGCACCACAAAATCAGTCAGGAAGAGGAAGAGAGATGGAATGTTCTGAAGTGTTCCTTAGATTTGATCAAGTAGAAAGGATTAAATGGATTTGAATAATCTTCTGAAGTTACTACCTAGTGGATAGCGAAGTCATTACAACCCTAATGCTGTGGGGCACTGCCACTCAGCACTGGGGTGATACCACCTCTGCCTGTCCAGTGAGGACAGGCAGCCAATGCACTGTTTTATGCCTTCTTTCCCGTACAACTGCAGTTAGAGAGAGAAGGGAAGGCCAGGTACAAAGAGAAGTGTCAGGGGAAACCTCAGGTAGGAGAAAGGGGCCCAGGAGAGGAGAAACTAACGGGAAATGAAGAGATGCTGACCAACTCCACTCCTTCCTGATTAAAAGATTTTGGCTAAACCTACTTTAGGTTATTACTAAAATCAATTATAAAAGGAAATTTAGTAACAGAGAATGTTATAATACAGTACTTTATATCTTATTGGTGATGATCTAGGGTAGACTTAAGCTTTTTAAAAATTGCAGGTAATTTGCCCTTACTGAAGGCTTATTAAGCTAAGTCATTTTGAAAATTCTGAATTTTCATGATGAAATTGAACTTTACTTCCAAATCAGATAGTTTAAACTCTTATTTTTTTCTTCAGCTTCTACAAATGATTTGGAATCATGTATGATTGAAGAAAAAAAGGAAGACGATTTACTAAATAAGTGTATGCAATCAATGTCAATTGAAGAACAAGGAGAACATCTGATGTTGACTTGACATTGTTTTGAATTTAAACACCAACTTCATCCAGACAATGTGCCAAAGGTGGGGGGAGGGGTTGTGAATTGTGTCCTCAGTTTAGAATGGTGTTATTTACCATGAGGTCATTAAGAAATTTGTTTGAAAAAAAAGTGTTCAGAACCTTTTACAGCAATGTAATTGGTTTGATGTAGTTCACTGTGCCTGTGGTAGCTGTGTAATAAACTTAAAATGTGCTTGTCTTTCTAGTTTGCCACTATTCAATTTTTTCTTGCCATTAAACTGGAGTTATTTTCTCTCAGATTAACGAATGCATCGTTTTGTGCCTTTCTTCTAAAACTTCAGCAATTAGAATACTTTAATCCGAGCAAAACTCTACAATACCCTGACATACGAGGGGATACCCCCAACAACCCTGGAACGGCGCCAGGCTGGGGAGCTTCTGTAGTAGAGCACTGAGCAACCCGCTGAGTTAGTGCACCTAGTGGCGTTGCCTGGGAAGGTATCTCTGGTCATAGTGAATTTGTTCGTAAAAACAGTTTTGCTTGAACATTTTTGTGATGATTAAGAGAGCAGTGTGGGGTTGTGAAATATTGTTTCCTGCTCGGGAAAAATGTCCAGAAATTGTTGTGATGTTGAACACAGCTTACAAAAACGCCCTAAAACTCAAGTGGTTTCCTCATTTCAAAAAAGGTGAAATTGTCGATTGATGACAGACCTTGTTCTGGACGTCTGTCAACTTCCCAAACGGATGAATCATAATGCATTTGGAGTTTGTGCCACCAGATCAGACTGTTAATCAAGCTTTCTATTTAGAGTAATTGTGTGTGACTAAAAAAGGCCTGGTTTGTGGCAGACGGAAGACTAGTTTTGACACAACAATGCACCTACTCACAGCCATCTCAGTGTGCCAGCTTTGGGCAAAAAAAAAGCATGCCTCTTGCCCCATGTACCTTATTTACCTGACCTTGCTCCGTGTGACTTTTTGTTTCTGAGAATGCAGAGGGAAAGGGCAGTGATTAATGAGAGAGGTGCTGTCAGCCACACAAACATGAGTTTGAAAAATGTTTAAAAATAAAAAGAAAAATGTTTCCATGAATGGAATTGTAGATTTGACAAATGTATTAAGTGTAATGGAGAGTACTTTGAAGGTGTTAAGGTTGTTTTGTGAAGAAAAAAAAAAGCTTTGCGGGGGAGGGAGGTGGTGTGCAGAGGAATTCTGGTTTTGGGGGGTACCCTCTCCTACAACAGCATCGGGATAGAGAGTAACACCCTGGCTTGCAAAGTAGGCACTTACAAAATATTTGCTGATTAAATACAATTAAAATATGGAAATTCTGATCTTTCCTACTTCATGAAAATGCTATATATATATAATTAGACTAACTACATTAATTTCGGAGTACGTGCAATGATAAGAGGATTTTTTTACTATATTCACGTGTCCTCTACTAAAGTTTTAAAAATAATTTGTTGAACCTTGAAAAATGAGAGGAAGGCAATTATTGCAACAGTTAAAAAATCATAATGGTAGGGGCTCAAGTGGAAAGTGGGTGTTGTAAGAATGATGAAGTCAACATATGTACTAAAGTGCTGGACACAAATGACGTATGTACAGATTATGATAAGTTGTATGCGCCCCTAATGATTATTTTTTTAAAAATCACAATGGGTTTCATATTCACATTTTCTATTATGTAGAAAATATTTAGAAAATACAAGTTCACATGAGGATGCAAGGGAGCTCTCTTCCTCTGTCAACTTCATCACTTGAATACTTCTCCACAGTTTCACTTAGTCTATTTTTTTAAAAATCATTTTATTAGGGGCTCATACAACTCATCGCAATCCATACATGCATCCATTACGTCAAACACATTTGTGCATTTGTTGCCCCCATCTAGTCTCTCATTTTTAAGGTTTTTAAAATTAAAAACAAGTGATCAAGAAAGCATAAATGGAAGATTAAGGTTTATTTCTGAATAAAGTGTATATAAGGAAGTCTATATTCTTTGCCCTCATGCACTTTCATAATAAAATTCCAAGTAACAACTTTGAAGGTATTTATCATGATAAACTTTTTCCTAACAGCTGGTCATTTACTCCATGGTAGACAATTTTTCATAGAAATCAAAGACTAAACTAAATATATTCTTAGATCTTACAGGGAGTTTACAGCAATTAAGAACAGAGAAGATATATTTTACTGCAAAAAATTATAAAAGTGGCATAATGTGGCTTTAAATGTTTAATTGATTTAAACAGAGGGGACAGAAAACAAACAAACAAACAGAAATATTAGGACAGGCCTGGCTTTACGATTTTTTGTATTCGATTCGTTCTACTTTCACATCATCTCCAATTAGCTGGTACACATAAGTGACAACAGTAGAAGCTTGAATATCCATCAACACAAATGAAGGAATAATGTTT